TTATAGTTTATTAGTCGTCGCGAGATTGTCGTAACCTTTTCTTGGAAAATCCCTATGGCACTTTTTACGATCGTTCGTGATCACTCAGCTGCGCAGTCCTGCTATGTCCCTTTCCCTTTTCACTTTTTCCTTTCCTTCCTAATCGTTCCTTTTTTTCTTTTTGTTGGCCAGGTTATTTCACTAGAGGATCTTCCCGCTGTGGGAAGCTTACAAACCAACCCGATAACCGCGTTCTCAGTATCGATATCGGCGATTCGACCAGCGTTACGGCCACTCAAATATCAAAGGTAAAAAGTAAAACTGTCTCGAATCCTCTGATCGATGTTCTGGTGTAAAAAATTCACGAAACGATTGCAAAAGGTCCGACAACTATATCGATCCATGAACCATATACGTATGAATTCTGATTGACATTGACGATTGGTGATGTACGCCGATGCACATGTGACTTCATTTTATTTTTACACATACGAAAACACATTATGTTCCATCGAGACACATTTTCATCTTTGTCGCTTCCCGATCGAGCAAAATTAATTTTCCTGGCTCTTTTCATCTCGCCGTGAAATCGATGAGGAAGTTATTTGCAAGTAACGTGTTCGCTGTTTCGATTTCAAGCAGCTCGATAGGCGTTTACCACGCGAAAAATATTGCGGTACATCAAAAGGATTGCTCCTTTGCCGTTAGCTCGATGGTTTATGCGGTGCAACCGGGCGACGCGTGCTCACGATGGAAAAAGTTCCCTACCCCCTCCGGTCAGGAAATATCGAATATCGCGATGTTTCTTCGATTCGATGGCGCGTTTCAAAACGGCGATAAAGCAACAACCAAATAAGATTTAAATAACAGCGGAAAAGATGAAAGAGCTTTATACGTTCGCTCCAAGCACCCCTGTGTATCTCGTGTGCGTTTTAAAAATGATTCAGCGTACTAAAACGTACTAAGACGTACAAGAAGCAAAGATCGTCGAGAATACTCACATGAACACACAGGCACAGGTAGTGAAAATTCGTCGATATGGCGAAGATTCGACGATCTTCCTGGTCGAGTCGCGTATATTCACAAGTTGGAACCCGGCTGTCGTGAAATATCGAATCGGCTTGGCCTCTGAGCCGCTAACATACTTTTCCTTCGTTTTGATGGACATGAAACGTTTTGTGTTGGTCTATCGAGCTAACGTGGTTTTCGGTTATACGGTTATACTATAACGCTGGCCGAAACGCGTTTCAACCAGGAAAGTGGTCAAACTTCGATCGAGCGTGGAAAACGCATTGGTGCACGATAAAAGCGGCGAAACATTCGAAAGTGCGATTCACTAAAAGGTAAAACAGATACGCGTGTATATTCACGTGACCATTGCCAGCAGCTTTTACCGGTCCATCGCGAATGCACGGAACTGCGAATTGATCGGGTATCAAACCGTAGGCGTACTAAAGAGAACGTTTTGAAAATTATTGGCGTGCAAGCTTAATCCGCGTGTGACTTAATTTGTACCGGCTATTGGCTGAAGAAACGAAAACACTTACCTCGTGTCGTCACGCGAATTTTATGTTCATTGTTATATGATTACATGCTGAAGATCATATTTTTTACAAAATTCGTTGTTCTTTTTTGTTCAAGAAATTTCTACAAAATAAATTCTAATCGTCTCTCGTATGATATTCCTTACAGATTCCTACTTTTCATTCTTATCTTTTCTATAATTCTTTCTTTTTCTATAGTTCAGACATTAAAAGGTAACTTAAAATGGTGTAGTAAATAAAATATAGTTTAGGAGTATTAGGTTGTCCAAAAAGTTTCTTTCGTTTTATGAGGAAATAATAGACGCACAACGTTTCTTGTTTTACATTATTTTGTCGAATTACGTACGATCCATTTTGATTTGTTGAGATAAACACCGTGACATTTCACAGACTCGGGTTCACGTTTGTATAAAGGTGCATTGTTGTAAGAAACACGTTTGCGAAAGAAAGACACTTTCCGGACAACCTAATACACGAACTATCGTATACGCTGAGAAAATTATCAAGTAACTTAACATAGAAATATCTTAATATCTTGAATTTTTAGGTACAATTGCTTTTTAACAATTGTCTCCTTCTTTGTTCATGGAATCATAGAGAAATATTAAGAATATTTTGAAAATAAAATTAAATAAAAAGAAGGAATTTTTTAATTCCTTCCTTTGCCGATGTAGAACGTAGAAATGAATATACTCCGTTTTGTATCACGTGACATTTTTATTCGAACGTGTTTTTATCAGGTTAAGTACATAGTTCCAAGCTTATTGTGTTTGACCATCACGCACGATCTCACGGCACGTTACGTCAGAGGATGCACGCGTTCTAAAATTTAGTTTACTGATGTTGGTGAAAGAACGGCGTGCCTCTGACGGGCTGTGCTTCAACAAGAGACTCTCCACGGCCATGATTTTCAGAGTTCAGGAGCTCGACGACGGGGATCTGTGTCCATGAGAACGACGCATATTGTTTTTCCAAGACACAAAATGAAACATGAGCATTAAATCGAATATCCTCCGACTAGATTTCCCAGAGGACTTGCCCCTACATCGTTTTCGCGACGAATCGATAAATTTCGAATATGTCCCCTTCAATTTGGTCCGGCTGTCTCTAAACCCATCTCTATATGCATCGCCAATGTTATCAAATTTTACAAACACCAATCGCATGAACAAAAAAAAAAAAAGGAAAAAAAACGGAGGGATACCATAAAGATGCAATTTAAGGCGAAAAGTAGCATTCATATGATTTAAATATCCTATGTAGAAAACATTGAAAATTTCACATCTGTCACTAAACCAATCTCTACACGTATTCCAAAAATTATCAAATATTGAAAATAACACTTACATCTTTAAATAGAAAGATAAAGAATTGAAGAAACATTGACAAAATGTAGTTTAAGTAGAAAATTAAGATGCAAATGATTTAAATGTCAATTAGGAAAGTATTGGGAGGAAAGTTGTGGAAATTTCGCATCCAGCAAAGACAGTAGTCGCTCCTGATCTCCGACTTCCATCGTATCAGGGACTACGAGCGGCGAAGGAACCCGAACTTTCGACTTTATGCTCGTTTACACCGCCCATTCCGACGCCGGGGAGGAGCAGGGAGGGTTAGAGTCTGCAAGCGAGGGTGTAACAGGTGGCACATTCCCTCTCGCTCTCGCTCCACGCTCGACGACGTGCGATTTCACGCGGCACCGTCATTATTGACGCTCCCTCCAACGACGAAGGGACCGTTTCTAGCTCACCCATTCATCCCCCTTTCGTCTCTTTCTCTAACCCCGTTGCCACCGCGCTTAAAATCCTCTCCAGAGGAATTCTCGTTCGTGTTCCTCGATCGAGGTTGTGTGGCTTGCCCCCGCGATTCGTCTCGCAATAAAGCTTCCACGGGCCGCGTGCACCGACCGGAATAGAAATTGCATTTTCCTTGGTGGCAAGCCTCGAAGAAAATTCACGGCCTCGGAACGTCGTTAGCGGATCGAAAATGTGAGTCTGATGTTCTTATTGTAACACGGCTCGTAGCTGGCAGAATGTCTGGCCGATTGTTGGACCGAGAACGTTTCGAAATTACCGGTACTTTTCTGTGGGCGAATTCTTCGGGATGGCAAATGGTAAGAACGACGTAGATTACAGCCGTAAAGAGATATTTACGGAGGTTCAATGAAGATGTTGGAACTGAACTTTGTAAATATGGATGGTGAGAATGTTTATCTCGTTTGATTGGAAGTAATTATATTTTAGAGGAAGGAAACTTTGGAAAAAAGACGGACAGAGTTACTTCGAGCAAGATTAATTCTTTAACAGCTGGAGTCAATCCGTCAATAGTGATATATGATATATTTCACTATTAACAACTATTAACGAGTAATTATTAATTCTTTTTTCCACGAAACTTTGGAAGCATGTATTTTTCATATCTGCTACTAGAAATGCAAGAAATCTTGTCGATAAAAAACAATTATCCTCTAAATTGTTCATCATAAATTCTTCATCGATCGAGTCAAAGAGACAAGCTTGCTCTTTCTCATCTACCTTACACGATAACATTCTCCATCTTCTAAAATACGACTGCATTTACTTAATTCCGTGTTACTGGGTTTAATACGAAAATTCGTCAGACACGCCAACTAAATCAAGAACAAGATCTACTTATATGTTAGCTTTTCATTAGCTTTTATCGCGATAAAAGTTTCGAAATAAGTGAATAGGGAGTATAATCTAGATTAGAGGAAAGAAACCTCGCGCGTGCACATAAAAACGAATGATAAATACGATGCAGATTATACGTAGTGTACCTGTCATCCTAGTCAAAAGTTTGCAAAAGCATGAATGAAAAGTACACGTTTAAAAGGTGTACAAAAGTGGAACGGTGAGTGAAAAGAGAGTAGAACCAGGTTGTATGAAAGGATACACAGGTAGAAGGTTTGAAAGCGTGGGGGTGAGGGCGAAATTCTACTCGGACACCTTTGCCGCCTCGTAGTCAATTAGTATTCTGTGGCTAGCTGTGGCTCTGCGGCGGACGAGAATCGGCGGTTCTTCTACCAGGCGACGCCAGACGTTGAAAACAGCCTGGAAACATAATTCCACGACGTCCGCTGTTTACCAGAAACGCCAGACGCTGAAATATTCATGAAACAAACTGCCTTGGACCGCCTCACCTTCTCGCTCGTCTCTGGCCGCGCTCTCTGTCTCTTCCTCTCGATGGTCCCTATTGTCTACCCTGTGTTACACGCGCTCATTTTCCTCACTTTTCATCGTTTCGATAGACACTCGCACGCCACCTCGTCGAAAGGAATATTTCAGAGCAATCACGATCGCGATCGCTCAATTTTAGAAAAGATGTCAGAGGCCACGCTCGACGAGGATTCTCTTTCGTTCATGGTTCACACAGTTATCAATGGACCACGCTATGACCAACACTCACGCTGCTTGTCATTTGTCCATCGTTTTGGGGTTCATGTTTTCATTATTTCGTTTCGTTGATCGAGAATTTTAGTATAATATTCGTATTGATTTTCGGAAATGTATAATTCTTCTTTCCATATCAATTTTGTGCTGAGAGAAAAGATTTTAAAATTCATGTTTATAGATAATACAATCTAATTGTTATAAAGAATTTCTAGCTTATACTTTATAAAATATATTTGGTTGACCCCTTCGCGATGTCACTCGGATCACTCATCGAATCGCACGCTCACACATCACTCGATGAGAAAACGGTTCACGTGACTAATTCCGTGTATTTCGTTAAAAAAAGTCGATGCTTTACTCTCTCGTGGCTCGCTATTCGTTGATCTACCTGACTCTGATCATTGGGAAGATTTTCTTTTCGTACGGGCTTCATGGGAAGTTAGTATAGAAAGGAGCATTATCTTTTTCGCTTTACGTAGCTCAAATTCGCCTTCCAATCACAACGCTTTGTCCCTCGTCATTTATACCAGTGTATTTACAAAATTACATATATATCGGATATCACTGCAAATAAGTTTCACGTATTTCGCGTGTGTGTCTTTGTGTGTCTACGCGTAGGAATGTGTACGTGTCTGTCTGCGTTTGTGTATGTTTCATGTGTTCTTAAGCAGTTAGACTTGATGCACGTGGTATTTTTTACCACGTGGTCGCTATGTAGGAAACCTTCTAAACGTTACAATTTAAATGTAATTCTTTTTTTTTTTGTTTCTTAATAAATCTAAAAACTACGATGGTAGGATCGTGCCCTTCGAACGGGCTATGCGTGTTCGTCGGCAGCGTTCTTCCATTCTTTGGCAATATTATCTATCCATTCTCTGGCACCACTTCTAGACGCTATCAGTGTTGGATCGATCGAAATCGCGGTGGGATCTTTCGTACAAAAATTGGCAGGAATTGGTTCTCGCTCTTCTGCCCGCGATTCATCGCACGCCCCCACAATCGGAGGATCTATGCATCTGAACGGTAATAGATGTGGAGTAGAGCTCGTAAAAGAAAGTCCTTATTCTCGATGCGTTCGTTATTAAATCAATTACCTCGATGTTTCGATAGTCCTCAACGCTTTTATCAAATTAAATTTTAGTTTCAAAAGCCTATATTTAAAGCGATAAAACGCGAAAAACAACGGTAAAAAATTTATCTCGAGCCTTTTAAAAAAGAGCACTCGAATCGATAAAAAATAGATCCAGGGTACCATTCATAACAATTGTATTAAAACAACAAATAAAAAATAAATATTTTCGTACAAAATTTTCACTTTTTTATCCTGTGATCCTCGTAAAAAGATTGTACTCGAACCAGTAAAAAATATTTTTCGAAATTAAGTATCAATTACCTATGCGTTAAAAAACAAATTCTTGCACCTATTTCAACTGGCATCACTAAAAATTGCTTCTTTAAATATTTTAATGTTTCAACTTTTTGAAGCCGAATTATTTCCTTTTTCCGCCGACTTACCTCGTAAACAAAAAGGAACGAATACAACGTCGATCGAACGGTATTCCGGTCGTGTCAGGTCAATTTCATCGCGGTCAGAGCCTCGTGAAAGTAACGAGATCGCAAGAAACATGCAACTCCGGCACACTTCCACGATTCCCGACTGAAACCGTACGATTCGCTCGATCAGCAAGCAGCCCCGCGTAATTAGCGCGTGCACTTGCTCAACGATTAGGCGGTCTTTCCGGCCCGGTAATTAACGTTGGCATCGTTAGCGCGTTAGTCTCGTTTACCCTCCTCCCCTTCGCTGTATCAAATAGAGGGGTTGAAACGGTTACAAGTGTGCGTTTCTATGTGACTTTCTCTCTCTCTCTCTCTGTATGTCTACATATGTGCACAGTTAGACAAGCAGAGATCCGGTTCGCTAAGATTAAAAATAATAAGCGACACACCGATGTGATCCGTTGCTTCTCGCTCAGCGGTTGTTTGACTATCCTATTCCGCTTGGCAAATCGTGAAAACGGTAATTAACATTCCCCAAAGGAACGCCGAGATAAGAACGTTGGATCAAAATTGTCGTTCTTTCGTGATGTCTCCAGCTTTCTGAGTTTTTTGACTTGACATTTTGGAGATGCTATAAAAATTGACGATTACATATTTGGGCAAGCTCACTTTCCTCCTACCGTGGTGCGTATCGTTTGACGAACAGTAGGAATTAAAAAAGGAAAGGACGTCTTCGTAATTATACAGTACCGCGCAATCACGCGTGGTGGTAATATTTCTCCGTTGTTTTTTCGCTGTTAACCCTTTCCGCAATGTTACAAAACTTTTCCAACAACGTTTTTCTACCTTATTTTCACGAAAGTGATTTATCTCTTTCCCACGAGGAAAATTTGAGGTCGATCGTTTTAACCCTCTTTCCCGTTTCATCTCCAGAGTTCCTCCTCTTAATGATGCTCCGGGGTACTCGTCGCTCGTCGAATTTTCATTCCTCGCCGCGCGTCGCGTCCATTAATCCTCCCCTACCGCGAAGAAACGCAGAGAGACAGAAACTGTTCCGGGCCACTCGACGTCGAAATTGCGCTAATTCCGATGATTTATGCGGGCAAGGAAAACGGCCTGTCGGGGAAAGACAGATACAAATACACAGGAGCTCTGTAATTCGCGGGCAGCACGCAAGCATGCGTGCGTGCCTCCTCGTGGCATTCATGAACTTTCCTTTCCGCCCTTTCTTCTTCTTCTGTTTGCCTCCAACCCTTGTTGTATTCTTCCTTAATTTATCTTCCAGTAACAACCGCGTTCCCGCTGACTTCCTCCGCAGCGCGTGCAACTTCGCCACGGAAAGAAAAATCTCGGCCACTCGACCCCCTTCTAGCCGGCCAAATAGACCGCGCAAAACCGCACAGAGCGGAAACCGTTTCTTGCTCGACTGGAGAAACGAGTCTGTGCTTCGTCTCGTCACTGCGGATTACTTGGAGTGTTCGTGTTCTTAAACAAGTTGTTTCAGCTTAGCGTTGTAGGTACTTGTGATTTCATATTTCGTCGTAAAGATTTCTTGAGCCTCCTGTCGATATATTTTACCATAGCAATAGCAGATTTCGTGTTGTGAAAGTTACTATTACGTTAGAGATTCGGGATCATTTCGAGTATTGAAAGGTGAATGTGCGATGATTCGCAGAGCAGAATTCAGTGTATCATATCTCAAACGCGTCCTTCATTTGGTAATTCATTTGGTTACAGCGGTGTCAGCGTTCGTCTGAAAATCCTGCCGATTTCAGCGTTTGCATTTACGACGACACGGAGAGGACAGGCGACGGCTCGCGGCATAGAATCCCCGATTTTCTGATCGACACATTCCGCGGCAGCGAAGATGCTTCTACGGCATCCGAATAATCCTCGGTAGGATCGTTGCGCAGCCAAATGCCTCCGGCCGAGCGTAGACACGCGCTGGATGCGGTGCTCGAGCGAATAGCTTTTGCTGGCGGCACTGCCACTGGCATTCGTGCTGCCGTTGGTGCTGTTGCTGCCGTTGCTGTTGCTTCGCTCGTTGTTGGCCAGCGGGGAACAATGGGTCGCGACGGCTAGGTCGCCAGGTTCTGCAACACACAATGACACGCAATGATGAACGATGCTTGCCGCTCTCTCGACTCTCGTTAAAACGGTTTAAAACGCCTAGTGCGTGAAACATGCGATTTCAGCTTCGACCGCTCCCCTATTTCATTGTTTCTCGCTCTTTCTTTATTTTTTTTTTTTAATTGTATTTCTTTTTTTTTGGTCGTCTTTTTACTAGTGTGTATGTGTGCATGTGTCTCTTTTTATTCATCCCTCTATTCGTTCTCTGCTTCGCTCCGTACCGCGTCAGCTTTCCCGCACATTGTTCGAGAATTAAAGAGACAAATTCCGCATGGGAACTGGATAAAGGAAAATCGGTCTCTAATTTCGTGCGACAATGTCCGTTAACGAGACAAAGGACTTCGATCGTTGATGAAATATCGCGCACCTCCTTTGAGGATACTAATTCTTCGTCCTTTTCCACGTTATAGGAGGACGTTCGTTATCGGATGTGTCGATGCTTGGAACAGCGAACGAAGAATAACGATTCTGTTTCTTAACGATGGAAAAAGAGAAAAATTCTGCTGCTATAGTGGAAAGTGGCTGTACAAAATTAGGTGAGTTTAGAAAAATTGAAAGCCATTCCATTACACCAGTATCTTTTTATATATTGCACTAAAATAGTAAAGAAAGTGTAATAGAATCATTAGAGGTAATCGAGTTATTTGGTGATTGCAAGAATTAGAATAAAGTTCCATGAATCAAGGGCATGTCGCATTCTAACCCCTAAAATGTGACAATACACTGCTTTCATCCTTAGGATCCGCTAACATTTCCAGGAAAGATCTAAATTCCTATCATATATCTAAGTAGAAAGACCACAGATCGTGTTTGACCAGACACGGTCTCGTTCTCCTTACGCTTCTGTCTACCAGCCACCAAATAACTTCCAGAGCACTTCTATCAATCCACATCCATTCTTATTACTTCTTGCTGTTTTCCTTTATCCAAAAACGCAACATTCTTCATTCTCCAACACGAATATCTCGGTAAAAATGCCCGGTTGAAGAAAAAACGATGACAAGCACGACGACGAAGAACTGGGAATGGAGAAATCGTGATAGGATTGTTCGCCGACTAATTTTACAGCGGCGCCGCGTTGCAGATGAAAAACGGACATCCTATAAATCCTTCATGGCCGCGTGCGCGCACGGATACGAAGATCTCTGTTGCCGATCGCAATTTGCGCGATCTCCGATATTGCTGCCGGCTCGTTTCGCGTCGCGTCGTGAGATATTAACGCCAGGCTACCAAACCTCCCTTCTCTCGCCAATCTCCCATTCCCCTGTTACCTCCTCCATCTCCTACACCTATCTGCCTCGATACCTGGTTGCACTGCATCTCCGTTTGCCGGTCTACCCCATTCGGCATACATCGAGTACGTCTCTGGTGTTCCCGAATTAACCGTACCGGACCAATCTGCGGTAGGTCAAAGTTCTATCATGGACTGTACGCAATCAGCTGCTAATTGGGAAATGATTGGAGCCACCTCCACCGATGCTATCGTGCCTCTAACTATCTCTGGTCGGCGAATAACCCCCGAGCCGATATAAATGCCCCCATAAATGCCAAAGCGACGTTTACACACAAGGGATGAGCTAGAATCTCATGCCACGAAACTCTGCATGCGCATGATGCGAGGGTATACTGTCACTTATTTGTACCTTCATACATATTTTCAGTGGAACTGCCAACGTTTCCCCTTTCGGAAAATGTAGAAGAGTTTCTACCTTCAGTATCGTTACTCTTTTCCCTCTCTGTTCCTCGCAGCTTTTTATTCCTACGAGCGAGTATGTAATTTCATAAAAGATCAGAGAACTAAAATTAAAGAAATTCTTTTGAACGTGGACGCCCAAAGGACCGCGCTTTCGGAATACGTAATTGACATAAAATATTTACCATAGTGCGGTAGCGTGGCGAAATATCCCGTGTCCCAGGGTTTGCTGATTTTTCTCTGTCGATAAATATTTTATGAGGTTGCTAATCAAACGAGGGATAGAAGCAGCTCGGCCGATTTCCACCCAGGGGGAGCGAGAGAAATGGTTCGATATTGGAAAGTTCGACGAAAGCCCTCGAATCGTTTAAGGGATACATCCCTCGCCGATGCGTTCGTAGAAATTTCAAGCAATCCTCCCCGACAGCCTAACATATTCGACTCATGAATTCTTAACGAGCCAGCCGCAGTGGAGAGAGGAAGTACCGCGACTTGTCTTCAGCCACCCTTCTTTATAAACGAATTGCCGGAACGAACACGGGCTACAGGGGATGTAGAGGGGAAAGGAGAAAAAGGAAGCAAAAAGAGGGACAAGCGACCCTGTGTAGACACGACATTAACCTTCGTTACGCGTGTTTGAATTTCTCTACAACGACAAGCAAGAGGGCGAGCTTCTAAAGGGGAGAGCGATAGCAGCTGATCACCGTCTCCCCCGTCTGTAGGTTGAAAAGGAAAGGAGCAGCGTAAAACTAATTGCGGCAGACGGCGCTCGCCTTCTCCACGTTTCCATCCCCTCTCTCCTATCGTCTTCATCCCTCTTAGTCCGCCTGTGAACCAACCGCCCTTAATAGCGTGCGGTTATTACAGAGGAACGACAGGCGGCCCGATTATACGCACCCCTTTACCCGTATTTCCCCAATCAAACCCCCCTTCGTTCCTAATTTTCACCTATTTGCCGCGGCTAAACCAACGAACTTCGTCTAGCGGAATTTCAGTGATGCAACTATCGAATAGTATAGGTTGGTTTACGTGCATGCGTTTTTCTACATTCTAGCATGGGGTAACGTGTATAAGATTGGAAAGAGGATGGAATCGTTTAGAAGATGTTTGTCTGTGTTTTAGTTTTGGAGATTGCATTAAAATACATCGGGCACTCTAAGATATTGCGGTGATGAATTTGACAGAAGCTGGCTGCTCGCGTGCACATGAATCACCGTGGTGCAATCATTTTAGCGATGGAACGCGCTCTGCATGCTTCTTTTGTCCCGGACGATGCTCATCCGTCGTGTTTCACGCCATCGTGAGAATAATCCGTAAATCTTTCGGCAAAGCTCCTGCGTGCCTCCAAGGATAAAGGTGAATCATCTTTGAGATGATGTCTACGATCGAATCGATGCAAATTTCGGTATGATTTTGTTTGTGGGTTATGTTTCATTTCGATTATTGCTCCCTTTTTCAGAACACGTGTTTCGATTCATCGTTGTGTATATTTCACGATTTATTGCTCGTAGGAAGTAATATCTTGTTTTGAAAAATTGTTCGATTTGGAAAATAATTATAATTTTTCGTAGTCGTTGGTTAACTCTGATTAATATAGCGGACAATTTGATAAAAATAACAGTGTTTCTAACTTTTATAGGCAGAAACTTTGTGAGTTGATTTTAAGTAAAGAGAACTGCTGTCGGGAATTTCAAGTTGCCAACCAGAAAAGAAGAGAAATCTAGCTAGTTTCTTCAACTTCTGAATTAAAATGTGTACTTACGTCTTCTTATGTCGTCCCTGATCGACGAAAAGCGTATTTCAACTTTCGCTGGTTCGTATAGAGGACATCTAGTTAAAATTTGTTAGTGTTCGTTAGGAAAGGCTTAAACTTTAGTTTGGTCGATTAGTTAGTAATTGCACAGTTCGAAGACGCAGCGGAAAAACTTTATCTTTCTCTCGCTCTCCTTTCGACTTCTTTCCTACGATTTACGCGAAATTTGCCGAGGATCAACTTCCGCGAGAACACTCCCCGAATAGTTCCGACGATTATCTCTGGAATTAACTTCAACATTCTGACACGGGTTCCGTGGCTAATTATTTTTTCTAAAGTTACGCAATTCCAAGTTGACCGCGGATAAACAAACTTCTTCGTACCAGGTGGTTTCTACAGATTCCTAAATCACGTTCTTTCACGTCTAATTAGAATTTGGCTAGTATTTGAGTGATATAACGGATGGAAATATTAATTACCTGGAAATAAGGAAAGTAAGGTTGTAGATTTAATCTTGAGTTTAAACGTTGTTGGGATTTTCAAATTCAGCTCACAAATATTGTGCGAAATATGGAAAATTGAAGTTAAAGTTTTAATAATTTAATTAGAGGCCAAGGGAGGTAATTAATCTGATCTAAATTTTACGTAATTTGTAGCACATTTATAGGGGTAGGTGGATATTGAGGCTATGTATCGTGCCTCAAAAATGTACTCTATATAGATAGTTTAACACTTCAACAAATTATTATTGAAAATTTCTAAATTCTATCTCATTAATAACTTGTACCTTCGATGAAGTATTAAAACGATTAATCTTTCGATGATTATTTAGCACCTAATCATTATAAAAGGAACGTAAATCATTGTTAGTAGGATTTCGATGTGTTCTACGTAACATACGTAGTATATCGATAAAAAAATTCTATGTGTCCAAATACTTTCGCGAGACACTGTAGTTTAATATCAAGAAAAAACAAATTACGGATAGACATTCTGGTTCTCAAGGCGTCGTCTGAGATCTGAGCTGATCCTTCCTTATCGCAGCGTTGCGACGATATTTGCGGGCGAAAGGCTGAGGTTTCATTTGGTCGGAACAGTCCTCACGACGCCAACAAGTACGCCGAGCAGGATATGAGATTGTAGTGCCAACTGTGCTCACCTCTAACAAGGTTTCACCAGGCCGATAGATACCGCGGTGGCTGTCGCGACTGCGTGTTCCCAAGGTACAGCGTTTCGACGAGTCTCACCACGGGGTTCTACAGACCAAAGCAAAAGGGTTGCTAACGGATATAATAGCGTAGATAACGCATTTAAGCGTTACGGATAGGGAGCGTTTAATTGCCCAAATTGATATCGCGTTGCGCTAGAAACGAACCCGCTTTTCGCTTAAGTATGCGCGTTGCTCTTCTCTGAAGGTGCCACCCTTTCGTTCTCGAGTATCTCGTAATTTTCCTATGATTCCACCTACCAAGCGTTTATCGAACATTGCTAGCTTTACATAGGCCGTGAAATAAACCGTTATTTTGGAAGAAATTTTGAATTCCAATCTTCCGTGAATTTTTCTAATCATTGCTTTTATTCGCCCTCTCTTTTCGTAACAAAATATTTTTTAATCCATTTTGCAAAGTTAATGCGTAGATAAATTGTCTACGAAATACTGTTGTTTTATAGCGGTTCTATGTGCGCATGTAGTCACGCAGTTTACGTAACGCGATTCTCTGAGCCGCACACGAAGCGTCGCACGAGTTGAATTATAGGGGTGGTTCGTTAAAAAACTAATCCCACTTCGTTGATCGCTATATTATACCGTGCAGTTAAGGGAATGAGCAATTTTCTTCGGATTGTTTTAGGGCTGATTTCGCATCCATCAACGTCCACGACGATTTTTCTGCCGTGCGTTTACGCGGCTTTATGAACGAAAGTCGATTTAACTGTCGCGTGTCGAACAGCAATTCTTTCGCCCCTACTGACTAACGATTGAACAATTACTACCGCGGAAAACGTTGCTACGTATGCGGGACAGTAATTAGAAATAAATTGTCAGTACTAGTTCAATCTCGTTCGTGTCCTTTTGTCCGTAGTTAAAAAGTATTCTGTCGTGGCTGGTACAGTTGTTTTCGATTCACGCGACAATTCCAGTCAGTAAACAGGCAAAACACGCGACTCGCTGCCATGCGAATAAAATAAAAGCGTTCGGACGTGCCGGGACAGAGTTTCGATACCGAAGGGAGAGAAGAGAGAAAAAGAGAGAAGAGAGGGTCACGGAAAAAGCGCAGAAGTATATATAAAAATTGAAATTGATACGTTTGGACGCGGTCATTCTAGTTTCGCGTGAAATATCCTCGACGTCGATAGAATCCAATAATATGCAATTTCAAGTTTCAAAGTAACTCCGTCGGTCTCCGAATCGATACGATATAGGCCATCCAGGGTCGAGAACTTCTCGTTTTGTACGAGACAAAATCGAAAGAAAAAAAAACGAAAGGAAAAAAGAAACAGGTGAAAGAGAAGTGTAAGGGGAAAATGGGAAGAAAAGAACTGGCAAGCAGCAAAGGTGTTCCGAACAGATGAAACCAATAGCAAGTTCGATAATCAATTTTTATCCCCGCCTGTTTTGTAACTTTGTTATGCGTTCACATCGTGCAACTTCGAGTTCGATACACGTTGCAAACGTCCGTCTAGCCCATTCGGTCTTTCTTGTACATTGGAAATTACGTCACTACTTCCTTTCCTGCGTTCGAAATATTCCTCTTTCTTTTCCAATACCAACTTGGAATTTTCCTGTGTAATATACCGCTGGACGCTTATGGTCCATCGACGAATAGGCAAGTTTTGACGATTCCAGGAATAAAATCGATGGGACAATTTGTGCAGGGAATAAACGAAAACGAACAACTCGTTTTCTTGGTACGTTTAACAGATTGATAGGGAACACGATGCAGCAAATATATTGCTTACTCCGGGTGAAAGATGCTCGCGCTAGTAGCTGGTCGATTCGAATATCGGTATTCCGGTTGCGCGACTCCTTCGGCTCGACATATGCTCCAACGACGATGATAACGACAATGTCCCTACTCTTGGCCGCGTGCCTGAATCTTTCAAGGAAAATTCTCGAGTAAACGAAATGCGCACGGCAATAAATGAATACGAATCGATAGAATTTTCATGGAAAAAGAAACCTGGAAGATCGTCGGTACATTTTCGCTTAGACTACTTTATCCGATTGGACGAACTCCGCAGCGAAACGAAAGGTTGGAATTTATATGAAATATTTTGGAGGGCAGATGCAAAGAAAACTATAGAATATAGCTTCTCAAACGTGAATTTCGAGGTGGAAATTTTTGTAGGCCCACCGGATAAACCTTCAGCCGTGTGTATTTTCTTGGTTACCCTCAAAAAGTTTATCCTTTCAATGTTGTTTTAAAAAATATCGGAGAAAAAACGGTTCCCGGCAAATATTCTATGGTTTATTTACGTAAATTTTCATGGAGCCACGTGCACGCGCGTGCTAGTGCGCGACGAGCAAAAGCAAACATTTTGCGGGAAGTCGCATGAAAGTGAATTACGCGAAGGAAAACTTTGCAAAACCGACCCTACGAGACACAGCCGGTGTATCTCATAAAAGTACTCGCCTGTTTATTGAATAATACAGTTGCAAAATACACATTGGTACGCTTAAATATACCAGCAACTTCGTGAAACCGATGTAAATGAAATTAAAAAAATTTGTTTAAATTATACGATTCAAAAATTCTGCAGATCTGAAAGAATTTACTTCTATGGTCTCCGAAGAAGCTAATCTCGTCGTAACGAAAAATATTCTAAACAGATTTCTTTTACATTTTTTTTCTTTTTAGAAACTTGCTTAAATCCTATTAAAACTACTAAAAGTTTAAACAACAATATCTCCGAAGTTGGGCGAAAGTTTTCGACCAAATGGAACTCCTTAGAAGCGAGAAATTTTGCCCTTTAAAATTCTCTTCATCTCGTTCCGATACGACTTATGGTTCTCGAGATATCGCCGTGCAAAGGAAACGATGAATTTTTAGCATTCCTTAGTTCTGTCCTTGTCGCACGCTCAGACTACATACTCTCGCACGTCTTCTCTGACCTATCCCAACTCGAGCCGCGTACGCTGGTCAGTAACAGATGCTGTCTCGACGACTTTTTTCACTGCTCCTACAACGGAGTACGCATTTCCAGGAAAAAATGTAGGTCAGACCGCCATAGCGCGTATATCAATGGCTATTGAACAGATTCCTTGTATCGTAATACTACGCGTTAAACCCCTCGCATCTCCGGAATGCTTCGAGACATCGGGATGAGACAGAAAGCATTTTCAAGGGCACGCGTTTCTCAAGATACTCATGCTGTTTTAGAAAAAATTTTGAAGTTGCTTTTCGATATTTTTTATACTGAAATTTCACACGATCGTACAGATATTCAATTCCAAGAATTGAAAGTCGAAAAACAGTGATGATGTTACAAATATTACTTTTTAATTACTTTCGAATATACAATTGTTTATGCTATCTCTTTATAATAAATGAACGTATGAAAGTGAGTTACTGGCTTTTTGAAAGGACGAGGTACTAATTATGTACTTGGACAGAAACGGGAAAGTCCTTTGAGATGTAAAGATATTTCAAGCGTAACATGAAATGGTTTTTAACTTTGAAAATAATTCTCGAATGACGTTTATGTGCAGAAACATTTTTCATTGTTCTGATGTCTAGAATTAATTCTCGCATGTTTTGTGACATTCTGGATATTGTAACGTATTTCTATATTTTATAATTGTTTGTTCAATAAATAATTTGTTAGTAGAGCTTTTGTTCCATTGGACCTACACCAATGTTAAAAAGCGCATCAGAAAAACTTAAAATCATGGCATACACAACAACAATATTCAGTTATTCAAGTTGGCTGTATTCATTTTATTAACTCACATAATGAATCTTGTAATTGTTACTAAATGAGTTAAATGTACGCTGTTTTATTTGATTAATAAAATAAGGAAGACAAGAATATTTTTTTGAAGTATAATATGGAAACAAAACGGCTCGTTTTAGTACGAGAATAAAGAAGTGGATTAATAATTTTAGTATGTAATTCTGTAGAATATAAGGGTAGAAATATGCTGAGAATAAAGGCGCATAGTGTTCCGTATAATATTACCCTTCTGAATACTTACTTTATTCATTACTGAGCATTTTAACAGGAAATAGTATAATTTTAAACAATCTCTCCATAAGTGCCAGTATCGTTTGCGCTAGTTAAAAGTTATTGTTTAGAGCCTGTTTCTGCGTTTTATAATGTTAAATTACCCCGAACGTTCTTTTGGCAAAACAATTATTTTCGCCTGAACGTTCGTTCAAAAGACGAGTAACGGAAGCCGTTTAAAATAAAGAGACGAGAGCTCGCACAGTAGGTTTTAAACATTCTCAACAAATTATCGCATATACGTAGCAATCTAAAATCCGCTGAATACGTGGTTTCCCTTTCAAAACACTAATCACAATCTCTTTCTCTTTCTCGGTCAAAGGTCCCCTCACAGGATCGGTACGGCGCGCAGCAATTCCCCGTTTTACGAAACACATACCCCCACCTGGCCTAAGCTCATCC